AAAAGCAAAATGGGTTTGATAGTTGGACTTCCAAGAGCTCTTCCAAGAGGTTCTGGAAGCTCCTGTGTTCTCAGCAGAGCTGCAAGGGACCCCTGCAAGCACCTTCTGCTGGCAGGGAAGGTGAGGAACCACCAAAAAACCTCTCCCCTGAAGTAATACTGCAGTTCAAGCTGATGACTTTTTCCAATGTACGTGGCTATTAATGATATTTTTGATACATTTTATCAAAAATTATTTGTCCCGCGGTATCCAAGCACCGGCATGACTTTGGGTTCCAAAGTGGAAATGAATCCCAGCCTGGCTGATACCCAGGGCATCAGCTGCAGAGCTCTGAGAGCACAAAGCAGAGGCTCAGTGGCTTCCTGCACTGCCTGCTCAGCAAAAAGCCTCCACCAAATCCTGCACAAACACGGCACAACAGCAAATCCAGAGCCACGGAGGTTTCAGGAGAGGATTGGGAAAATAAAACCCTTAAATTATTTGCTTTGGTGACCCTAAGCAGTGGCTGACCGCTTCCACAAATGGTCATTTCCCAAATTATGACCAACCAGATAAAAAAAGGCTTTAAAACTTCCATCAATACCGTCATTTTCATTTAAAGGTTAAATTTCTCAAGGCTGTTGATAAAACTGGAGGAACTGGAGTGAATTTTCAGTCCTGTTCAGCCAGAGAAGGAAACTGAGGCAGAATCATTTCAGTGCAGCCACTTCTCCACAGATCTACACTTATATACAGTTTATTTCACTAGAGATTTTAATTTTATACATAGTATAAAGGGATATCCTGGTATCACACATAGTTATTTTACTGTACTGTTTAAGAACCAATTTTTTACATAATACAGTATTAAGTACCATATTAATTAAAACAAGTGATTTAAAAAAAAAAAACTACATATAAATGGATGTTTACCATATGCACAGTGCAAGAATGGCTTGATATTGTAATCACAAAATGTGAATCTAAAATACAACACTGTGATTGAAAACATATTGATAATTATGATGCCCTTTGTTGTAGACACTGATTAATCTTTCTTTGATTTACCAAGCAAGGTTAAAATTCCAGACAAACAGCAGCAGCTTCTCATTATGGTTTCAAGGTTTCTTCCACAGTAACCCAAGTTTTACAAAACACTGGTTTATCCCTACTCGTGGTCCAAGGAAACAGAAGAATGGCACAGATTCCATTTGGGATTATCTGGTAACTAATGCTAAAGAAATTTTTTATTACTTCCACACAGGAATCCTTTAAGGACGAGCAAAGAGATAAAGATGGAGGAGTTTCTGGGCAGATTCTGGGCAGAATTCTCTGGATTTTAGTAACGGAGTACAGGATTTCTCCTCTGCAGATAGGAAGACAATACTGGAATAGAAATCAGGCTGTAATATTTACAGGAAATGAGTGTGGAAAAGAAAGCAATCCTAATGTAAACGCCGAGGCAGAGAGGGCTTCTTCATTTTCCCTTTGCAGAGTGGGGCACTGGATGAAGGTCAGCTCCCAAGGAACAGCTGTTTTCCTGGGAAGAGCCCCTTCCCTAGCACTGAATGCACGTGGTACTCGTTGAGAACCCCTAACAGGTCTTCTCCCCTCCCTCCCCCCAAAGTTTCAAGTTCAATAAATAGTAGAAAAATAATCCTTTACTTAAAAATCTTGAGATGCATTGTCCCAGGTCCTGCAGAGCGCCGGGAGCTTTCCACCTGCAGAGAAGCCAGCAGCCTTCCTGCTCTGTCTGGCACTTCTGGGCTCTCCAGCTGCAGATTCCTGCTCTTCCAGTTAAGGAAACCAAATCATCTCTGGCTCTTTAAGCTCCCTCTCTGCTCTTGGCTCAGCACAACAAACTCCAGCTGCTGGATAAACTCCCATCCCTGTTCCTGGAGGTCTTAACGTGCCTCCTGCTCCATTTTTCTCCATGTTTTGGCAGGTCTATTCATCAAGCACGTTTGCAGGCCAGAGCCAACCTTCCATTTGTAAAAATGCAAAGCTCTGATGCCTCAGTTTGGTGGGGAAGCCTGTGAGGTTGTCCCTGGGGAGCAGCACAGTCCCCATGGCTCTGGAGTGGCATCTGTGGTGTCCTTAGTGCAC